GTTGTCTGAGTTCTGGCTAAATCCCTCTCTGTACATGAACCAGAGTCAAATCAGCTGAACGATTGGCCTGGCAGTGCTCTGTGCCTACTAATTAATGAGGAAAACAACTGTGTCACTTAGCAGCAATTAGGGAGGGAGAACTTTCCAGGGGACGCTGCCAGTGGAGCCTGATGTCAGCTCTGAAGAGCCTGTAGTGGTGCTGAAACATTCCCCTTTGTGAGCCTTCAGGAAGAGTTCCCTGGCTGGGATCTCAGAAATGGTAGTTTTGGTAACTGGAATACTGTCTGAAGCTCCAGCAGTAGGAGCTTTAGTTTTGCTAGTGCTCTTGGAATAAAAAAGAATTGCTTCCCACTGAAGTCTTTCTTTGGCTTTAGGGCAGGCCTGAAGGGATGTACGTCCAAAAAAACTCGCCCACCTTTCCTGCACTCCCTGCTTGACCTGAACTGTCGGGGTGGGGAAGAGGTGCCGGCAGAGGGCCTCTGTTTGGTGTGTGTACAGGGAGGTTAGTTTGGCAATTCCCGGTTACATTTACAGGCATTTTTGTTGGATTGTGCCAGGATTCCTCAGCCCTGGCAGTAAGGATGTCCGCTGTGTTTGTGGGAGGCTGGGAGCAGTGGCAGGAGCAGCCAGAGGTGCTGGGGCTTGGGTGTCTTGCTGGTGTCCCTGCCCACGACCTCATCCAAGATCAGCCTTGGGGTTTTGTGTTAAGAAAAACTTTCCCTTCACTCCATGTGCTGTGGACTAACTTAGCTCTGAAAATATTAGAGTCCAGGGGTTTGGGGGAGAGAAGTAGGGAGATAGGAGTTTTAAAGGTTGTCTGTTTTGGATAAAATCCCTTAGGAGATGGAGTGAGCAGCATTCCCATCACTGCTGCTGGAGGAAATCCTGGCTGTCCTGACCCAGGTCCACGTGCTGTTGCCAACACTGACACTTGGCAAAGGACAGTTGTCCAACCAGGCTGAGACAGTGGAGACCCGTAGAGGGTCTGTGAGAGCTCTGCTACAATTTAGCTGTTACCGATCTGAACAAAAAGGAAGACAAAGCGTGACAGACCTTCTGCCAGGAGGGTGTGTGTGGGCACCAGAGCCACTGCCAGGGCATCCTGGAGGGTGACAGACGTGCGAGACGCTGCTCTCGGCATTGGGAAAGTGGGACAGGGAAGTTTTCCCCAGGACTGTGCAGGGTATTGTAAAACACGGAGTGACGGCAAAACTAAAACCATTCCGTGGTCAGCCCTGTGACTTCCATATAGATCGTGATCCTTGTTGCAAGGGATAATTTCTTCATTGGCAGGAACTGCGAGGAATTCAGGGGGGTGATCAGTCAAGCTGATGAAGGAAGAGCCAATCTAAATTTTAGGATATTCCTAGTACAGAATTACTCCAAGATGTTTCTTCCAGTATAACTAAACCTGTCAACTGCTTTCCCTAGTGACTGGCCATGTCTTGTTTTGAATTAATCAGGACTGTTCATGTTTCTTTTTTAAGGGAATGTTGAGGTCTTTGGATATCATGATTTGTTATTCCTCACAACCAGCTATTTAAAAGAAATCTGCAAAATAACTTTGGTGGAAAATGCAGTTAGAGCAGACTGTGCTGTTCCAAAACAATATCCAGGGAAAAGTTCAATTTCAAACCTTAGCTTTTTCTTTTGACTCAGATTTAAAACCTGTGCTTCTCTTGATGATGTCCCTTTAGTAGGTGAATGATCTTCAGGAAAGGATGTAGTGTCAGCTTTGTTAATCCAGGCTTGTTTCTATTTTAGCTATAAAATCATAGAAAAATGTAGGTTGCAAGGGACTTCTGGAGGTCATCTCTTCCATGCTTGTATTGCTGCAGTTTCAGCATCATGAAAACACATAAATCGGGGTCTTTTGTGAGGTAAAGCATGTTTTTTATTAAGTTGATTATTATTATTTCTTCTTTCAAAAGTAAGCTGGGTGCTGATTGTTGTTGGCTGCCACCAGGCTGTACTGTAGTATTTAGGCATGTCTTGATCTTTTAATTTCAGTGGTGTCTCTCCAGTAGTAGATGTTCTCCAAACTCTGAAGGAGCAAGTGCTCTTCCTTGGGAGGATTACAGGGCTACGTGGGCTATGTGGAGGAAATCATCAGCAGTTTTATCTGATCATTGTAATGCTTCCTCACCCTAAGAAATCACGTTACACACTTGTGATTTCAGAGGCTGGGTTTAAGCCATTTGCCATGAAAGGTAAACATCTTGCTTGCAGTTGTAGATAAAAGAAAGGAATAACCTTTTGATTCTGTAATTCTGCTCTTCTGCACTGACAGAGCTTTTCTTCTTTCACAACAAACCTGCTGCTGTCTCAGCCTGTTTACAGTCTTAGTCTGGCACAGTCGCCACTGTAATGAGCTTACGTGGGGAAAGTACAAGTGAGAGCGAGGTCTTAGACCTGTTTGGCCAATCTGTCCATCTCGCTTTTCTCCTCGAGAGGAAGGGGAACTTCTCTGGGACAGTCTGTCTGGAACTGATAAAGTGATGGGAATGTTTTCTTGGCACTTTGAGGTCATCTTGGGACAATTCAGGTCCTATCCTGCTCCTCTGGGCTTGCTATGGGCTCACTGAAATCAAGTTCAGGTGGGTCCTTGCTAATAAAACCAGGTTTCTGTGGTGTTGGACGTGATTTACTGGGTTCACTCCTCTCTATCTGGATGAACTTGGATCTTCCTGGCAATACACTGTTCACATGGAGGGCAGGTCATGCCGTGAGCAGCAGGGAAGCCCGTGTCAAGCGGTGCTTGTGTTCCTGGGTGCATTATTTATACTCCAAACCTTATCCACAAAGGTCATCACTTGGATAGCACTTGCAGGGTCCTTGGGACACCAGTCTTCTGGGAAGCTCTTGGCCTCCAGCTCACTGGGAGCCTGTGGGAGTGCTGTGTCATACTGGTGCAACTTCTTAGGTGTAAGGTTCTCAGCTTGAGAGAAGCTCGGTGCCAAAAACATTTCCATTGAAAAGGAAGAAAAAGATATTCCAGTATCTCAGTTATTCTTGACTAAAAAAAAAAAAAAAGGCAAATTTTACTAGAGGCTAAGTAGGTGTGCTTCTCAAACTAATCTGCATGGATTTCTTAGCTGTGTTTTGTTGCTACTTGCTGTAAGTGGATATGTCTGGAAGGACAGAGGGTGTAGGAAATTCCTGTGCTAATCGGAATAGGTGCTGGAAGTATGGATCCTTCACAAGATATCAAATCCCTCATGGGGGCAGGGGTTGCATTTTAAGGATGATAGCATCCCTTTTTAAAAATGAGGGAGTTTGTAACTGTGATTTAAGTTAAAATTATTTAAAAATCAGATTTAAAGTGAGCATTGAGAGGCTTTTTACCCTTTTGTTGAACTTTGGCACAAAATATCTAATCTTGCCAAGCTGCTCAGGCAGCAGACTACTGCTCTGTGTCCTTGCACAGGGAAGCCTTTGCAGTGAATAGCGTGTCAGACTGTAGCTGGGAGCTTTGTCTTCCTCTCTCTGTGACCTCTGGTATGTTTTCTGAAAGCTCGTGGTTGTGTTTCCTAGTTAAACACTTCTCTACCAGAGAAATTAAAATTTTTACACTGTGGGTTTTTCTGGATGCTCAGGACTGCACTGGACATGGCAACCTGATCTAATCTCATCTGCTTTGACTAGATGATGTTTAGCAGACTTTTCAGTATAAATTATTCTATGATTCTGTCATTAATGCAGGAATTAATAAATGACAACATTCTGTTTGGGTTATGCAGAAATAGAACTCATCTTTTGTAACAAGCTCGAGACAGTTCTCTAGGTGCAGTCACTGCTCATACTCAGATTTTCTGCCTGAAAAACTGGAAGCTCAACTGATGTTTGCATGTCAACACCTGTCCCCATTATCCGTCCTTATTTGTGTCATTCCCTTCTGCCAAGGAACTTGGATCCACTGCAAAATGATCCCCCTCCAGGGGCAGTGGAAGAAAAATCTATATGAATTCCTTGGCAGTTTTGAGCAGAGTGAGTGAGCAGCTTTCAGGCAGGGTAAGTTTATATATGTCTGTAACTTTGTTTGCTTCAAAATTAAATTATCTGTGCAGACTTTCTCCCCTTCCTGTATAAAGAACAGCACACAATAATACCTACCCTCGTAAATAGACATTGTGTGCCATTCTTAGAAGCTACAGTCGATGATTTCCTGAAAAAGCCCTTCTCTGAGCAGCCAGTTACAATGTGCTGCTTGAGCTAGGCTAGAGCTACGTGACAAAAAATAGCCACTGTGAAATTTGATCTATCTTTAGATAATGTGATTGATTTTTCTTTCTTTTTTATTCTCTTTTTTTTTTTTCCTTGCTGAAACTGATCTTGCTCAGCTGGGTGAGCTGGAGCAGTCACATGTGCTTTATTGATACTGGGTTGTGCTTAAAAATTAAAATTGCTAAGTCATGTATAGGTTCAGTTAATTCCTACACGAGGAGTATTGGGCAGATGCAAAGAAACATTTTCAGACTCTTGCAGCAGAATTTTTCTTTCGAGTTTGAGTAAAGCATCATAATCCAACACAGATGCTGCTGTCTTTTGGACAGTCAGATTTAATGCCTTGGCTGTAGAAAGTCGTGACTAAAAGGGGTTCTCCTCCCAGCAGAATTGGTTTGGTTACATAGGGTGGCACAAGATGGAGAAGAGATGAGATTGCAGCCTGTGGCTGCTGCTTTCGCTCTGGAGCTGAAAAGAAGGAGTCTGTCTGCAGATACAGAATTCATGACATTTCTTTCCTTTTGGAAAGTTATCTCTGCAACCAGAAGTTGGAAACAACGTGCTGAAAGTTGCAAGATTGGAAGGGGCTTTGTTAGGGGGGCCAAGTGACCCGTCTTGTGTGAGGGAGAGCAGACAAATTGCTTCCAAGCTCTGACAAGCGATCCCAGGCCTGTGGCTGGGCTCCAGCCTCTCGTTCGCAGCAGCTTTTAATGATTAACTTAAATACTTTTATAGTACCTTGAGAATTTAACCTCTCGTTCATATTCTCTCTGCAGGTGGAGGAATCCGAGGCCTTTCTCCTCCTCTCAGCCTTGCAGACCAGGTCGCCTCTGATTTCACATCTCGTCATTTCCGCCTGCCAACCTGTCTGATATGTCGGGACCCGTGCCGAGCAGGGCCAGGGTTTACACGGACGTGAACACACACAGACCCCGCGAGTACTGGGACTATGAGTCGCACGTTGTTGAGTGGGGGTAAGTCTCTGGGCTGCCTCTGGATGTCCCTGCTCTGGGATCAATCCCTGTGGATCTGGGTGCACGGGGAGTTCAGGTGCCTGTGCTGCGTGAGGCTTTTTCCGTGCTCCTTGGCAGATGTCAAGCTTTAGGATCACGGTGTTTCTTCAAAGGAGTGTTTCTTATCAAACTTTTAAATCATCAGCTGCATAGGAACGGCAGCTTCATTAAAAGTTTGAAGAATTTTTGCCAGGTAGTCAGGAAACATCCCCTTTCAGAGGGAAGAAAGTCTTCCTCTGAAACAATCAAACTATCCCTGAGCACAGGGCTGAAAAGAAGTGAAAAGTCTTTCAAAGTGAAGTTGCTTCTGGCTTGGATGAGTGAAGAGACTCTGCAGACTTAAATAGGTACATGCTATTTTGTGACTTGTTGCTCTCTACCAGTGACTGGAAAAGACACGGCTGCTTCTCTTTGAAGGAGGGAGGTGTCTAAATTGAGCTCATGACTAAACCCTCCCAGAATCAGACAGCAGTGGTGGCAGCTTCATAGCTCTGCATTCCTGCTGGGATGTAGAGGGCCCAGGCAGAGTTCAGCCCTCAGCTGTGCTGCAGTTCCCAGTTTCTGGAATGTACACAGTCTGAGCATAAGTGCTTCTTTGTGCCTAGTCTGTTTTTAAACAGGCTAGCACTTAAGTTTTTGCTGTCACTGCCTTTGTTGATTTTTAACAGTATTATACAAAGAAAAATGTAGCTTTCAAATATAGAGAGACTGGGAGAAGAGATAGCTCGAGTTTGCTGATGCTGAAAAGATAGTTGGGCTTTCAGTCCCTAGTTTTGGATTGAATCTACCTTGGGCAAATAGAAGTTCCCTGTTTCTCTCCTAATTCCTAATCACCCTAGTCTGGAGAAGACACTGGTTAATCCCTTTTGTCTGGAAAGTGAGGCAGTGATAAAGTGTTAAGGAGCAGTTTGTACATTGTCATGGAAATGACTGAGCTCTTTGGAACTTTAACCTTTTCTCTCCACAGAAATCAAGATGACTACCAGCTAGTTCGAAAATTAGGCCGAGGCAAATACAGTGAAGTATTTGAAGCCATCAACATTACAAATAATGAAAAAGTAGTTGTTAAAATTCTCAAGGTGAGCTGGGGATTGGGCAACAGATAAAATCTGTCTTGAGGTGATCAGGAGGCCAGAAAGGCCTGTTTGATGTTCTAAAACTGAAATCCTTGAAGCCTGGCTTTGGAGTGTCATTCAGTGAAACAGGCCATCATTTTGAGCCTCCAGATGCACTTGGTTATTAAGTCAGATCTCTGCCTGTAAGGAATTAGACCATTGACCCAGCACTGCCAAGCCCACTACTAAACCATGTCCCCCAGTGCCACATGTATGTGTCTTTTAAATACCTCCACTGGAGCAGCCTGTTCCAGGGCTTGACAACCTTTTCCATGCAGAAATCTTTTCTGATATCCAGCCTAAACCTCCCCTGGCAGAACTTGAGGCTGTTTCCTCTTGTCCTCTCTCTTGTCCTATCAGATCATGTTCAGAGAGCTTTGAAAAAAAAAAATCTTCCTGCCTTTCCTTCACGTGAAACTGGTGTCTGAAGCTGTCAGGGTTGTATGGTTAGAAAGGAGACAGCAGATATTTGAGCCCTTCTTGGAGTGATGCATACTCAGGTTATATTACAAAGGCTCTGATGCATTTTGCTGATCTGCAGTCATCTGGGTGTTGAGCTATTAGCCTCACTTTACTGCAGTGCTTTATCTTACACTTCGGGTTTTTTATTCTTCAGCCTGTTAAAAAGAAGAAAATCAAGCGTGAAATCAAGATCTTAGAGAACTTGCGAGGCGGGCCCAATATAATCACCCTTGCAGATATAGTAAAAGATCCTGTGGTGAGTATGGGAGCAACTGAAAGGCTACTCTGGGGTTATGGGTGAAGTTGCTGTGTTTGACTTCAGCTCTGATCCGGGTTTTTGTTTATCCCTGCTCTTAAATCCTGCTTTTGAATTGACTAATAAGATCAGCTCTTCATCTGATAAACTTCTTTTAGAGGGCCCTTCCCCCACAAGTCCCTTCAGCTTCTCACTCTGTGAGGAAGAGATACCAGTGAGCTGAGAGAAGTTAATTCATTCTGCAAACAGTGCTGCCAGGGGCTGTGGGCTTTGGCTCTGCTTTCTCTGTCTGAGGAGAATCATAAATATATCTGAGGCAGAGGGGTTTTGTGCAGTTTTAGGAGAAAAAAATTGTTTAATTAATGATCCTAAATGGAAACATAGTATCTCAGTTACCATGGCTGAACGCTTTTCTTTCTGTTTTAGTCTCGGACACCCGCTTTGGTTTTTGAACATGTAAACAACACAGACTTTAAGGTACAGTGTGGGATGTGAACTTCTCATTTTTTTTCTGTTTGAAAGCCACTCGTTCTGTTTTTTGAGGGGAAAGTCAAATACACAGGTCAGGCAGGCTATTAAATCATTTCCTTCCAGCATAGGAACTGTGCTTAAAGGTAAATACACTTGGGATAGAAGTTTGTAATTAATCCTTCAGTACCATTTTACCACAGAAGTTAAAAGGTGAGAATTCAGATTCCAAGTGGTATTTAAACTGGGGAGCAGATGAATCTGTTACTGTGTGGCCCATCAGTGCCTGTCTTATGGAAGCATTTTGCTTTTTTGTGTACAACTCTTTATTGAAACCACTTTAAATCTGAACAGCTGTTCCTGTGGCCTTTCATACTCCTGGGAATAGGGATTTAAATGTTTCTTTGCTGTTTCTGTGGCCTTTCATACTTCTGGGAGTAGGGATTTAAATGTTTCTTTGTCCCCTTCCTACTGACCCACCTCAGGAGAAGAAAGGCAGTGCAGTGCCATTAGGAATAGCTATTTAATGTTGTAGAGCACCCTCAGTCTTCTTGTGACCCAGAGTGCAGGCATGGCCCGTCGTGCTGGTGCTGGGCAGGTGAAACTGGAGGTAGACAGTGACAGGGACTAGAATGTGCTGTCTGAGCAGAGCTGGGAGTAAACTATTTGTGGGATTTGTAAGGGGAGAGAAACAAACTGCTCAGAGTTGGGTGTGGGATCAGAGTATCTTGGGAAACTTGGACTAGTCCTTCAAATGGGTTTGGAGAACCACAGCAGCCCAGGACAGGGCTGGGTTGTTCTGGATTGGCAGGGATGTGATAGGTTTTTTTGGGTGTTAAACACTGATATGATGTGTTTGTGTCCCACAGCAATTATACCAGACATTAACAGATTATGATATTCGATTCTACATGTATGAGATTTTGAAGGTAAGTTGGTGTTTTGCTGGTTTGGCTGTTTATTTCTGGGATTTGATCTCAGCTAATCCTGTAGAGATGATTCTCATGTCACTGATCATAGTGACCTATCACTAAGGGAAGGGAAGAGAAAGCCTATGAAAGAATGGGGCAGAAAACTGTCAACTCAGTATTGATTTTTTTTTTTTTCAGCCTTGTTTCTGCAACAAATGCTAGGCTTTTTTTTTTGCCTTTTTTATTTTTTTGAGGCTAGCAGAGCCTTTCAGTACACTGAGATAGCTTAAGGTCCTGAATCAGAAGTACATGTAGCCTCTGAAAACAGACAACTATAAGCTGTTGCTGGCTGGGTTTGTGCTCTAATGTAATGTGAGTCAAATGTCTTTGTCCATTCTTCTGAAACAAGTAATTTTTTCCTTAGGAGTCTGGAAAAGGGGACCTTGTTTGATCGATAGTGCCTAGTAACTATGCTCTTAGGGACTCTGAAATTCCAGTTTTTAGGAGGAAGCACATGAAGTGAAGTCAGGACACTTGTGTTGCTGGGACCTCCCTTTGAAAGGGGGCTCTGTGATCAGTGAGTCTAGTCCAGGATGTTACACTTGGTGTATGTGCAAATACTCCTGAATGTGGTTGAACTCGAGAGGTCCTTGTGACTCCAGTGTCTGTTTCTTTGTCCCCTGCAGGCTCTAGATTACTGCCATAGCATGGGAATCATGCACAGAGATGTCAAACCTCACAACGTCATGATTGACCATGAGCACAGAAAGGTAGTGTGGGGTGGCTGGGGGGCAGGGGGGAAGGGTCCTGCTTTTGGCAAACTGGGATCCCTTTTGGGTACTCCTATGTAGTGGTATTAGCAGACCCCTTCAAAGGGCACTGCGCTTCCCCTTGTGTGGAGAACTGTAAAATGAGATTCTGTATGCTGCTTTTTGAAGCTTTTATGGGGTCGCGTGTACAGACAGGGTTGCAAGGAGAGGTATTTTATTTAGACTGGTTGGTGATACGGGTTTGGGGAGAAAACGTAACCAGATACTCTGATCAAATGAATTGAAAATAGAAGACTTGTAAATTAACTTCAGACTAAGCTCACCTGCAGTGTTGTTCAGCCACTGGAGAGCTGGAGCACCCCTTGAGCCTCTTTTCTTTGTTTTCTCCCATTTCTAGCTTAGACTAATAGACTGGGGTTTGGCTGAATTCTATCACCCTGGCCAAGAGTACAATGTCAGAGTGGCTTCCAGATATTTCAAAGGACCTGAACTCCTTGTAGATTATCAGGTAAGAATTACCAGGACTTCTCACTGACTTTTGTATGGAAAGTCTGTGCCATTTCAAGGTAACAAACCCAAAATTCAGATGTCTAGAGAGTCGAAGCTAAAGTCTGTTCCAAAATGTGTGGCAGAAAGCAGCCATAAAATTAAAGAAATTCTGAGTTAAGGAAACTAATGGGTAGTCTGAGGACCTGAGGAAGAGCTGCAGAACTATCATCATGGATCTTGGAATACAAATGCTGAATATTTTTTTAGCAAGGCTGTGTTTGCAGTAAGGTACAGGAATGAAACAAAGCCCCTGTGGGAACAGCGAGTACTGCATGAACTTCTAAATTAAGCTATAAAAGCATCCCCATATCTGATGGCAGATTGCATTATGGAAATCACAGTGTTCCTGGTGACTTTCATACTGTACTGGTTCTGAAAAAAGGCACATCCTCACCTGCCTGTGGACCTTGGGGAGGCCACGCCTTTTGTTACTTGTTGTGATCCCTGCCTTCCCCACACACACTTCTCGATGGTCCATAACATTGGAGCCTGCAGTGAAAACAGAAAAAGGCACTGATCTTTAATATCCTGGTGGACAGGGATGGAACTAGGATACCTGCTGTCCTGCTAATTGCTGTATCCCAGTTTGAGTAACTGGAACACTGAGCCGAACAGTGTTTAGGGATCAAGATACATGAAGATAGTTCAGTCTGTTTCCAGCATAATGTGGCCACATTTGTGTCACTGGAGGGAGGGGGGGACCCTGTTAGTTTTGGAAGTCTGTTCTGCTTGATTCATTAGAAATTGAATTGTCCTTCTGGTTTTGTACAGATGTATGATTACAGTCTGGATATGTGGAGCTTGGGTTGCATGTTGGCTAGTATGATATTCCGAAAGGAACCATTTTTCCATGGCCATGACAACTATGATCAGGTGAGAGCTGGTCATGTACAATCTCTGTTCTCTTAGCACCATGAAGATTTCCTGCTTAGGCTTCTGTCGAGTGATCTGGAGAAGGATTTAAGCATTTCTCTAATGGCTTCTTTGCTCAGTTTGAAGCCACATTCCTTTTCTCAAGTGTGCAAGATTATGTAACCAATTAAATGGAAATGGATTTATAGAGCTTTGTGCTTAGGGGCTCCTCAGTAGGTGTCTGGGAAAAGCTGTAACAATAGTTACATTACAGCTGGTGTGTTCTGGTACACAGATTGACTATTCCTGAGGTTATGTGGAAAGCCCTTGCAACTATCCACCTTCCCCCCTCTCTGTATAGAAACTGAATTTGGTGCAGGTTTATAATCAAGATTCTGAAATCCTTGATGTGTTGCCTGTAAGTCAGAATATTTATACTTAAACCTTTACCACATGCTCTGCATGTGACTAACATGCAAATATTCCAGAACAGAGACCTTTTATTCTCAAACCTCTATTCTGGAGCTCTCTGGGGTGGTGCTTCACCCTTCACATGCAAGAGCCAGAGTTTCTGCTTTTTTGACCAGTTATTCTTGCCTTCTCCTCTCTTGGTTTTGAATGTTTTCTTGCTACAAAGGGAGTTAGCATTGCAAAGTCTCAGGTTTTGGAGATTTTAGGGTATGTGGCTCCCTCCTGGCTGCCTTGGGGTACTGAGCTCTGGCTGTGAGTGGAGGCACATTCCTGATGCTGGGGACTGTGTGTGGCTGGGGAAACCAGAGCCACAGGATGACCCTGTGGCTGCTGGTTCAGACCACTGAGACCAGGTTCAAGCTTCCAAGGGAATGTGCTGCTGTATCTTCACATGGGCTCCAGTATTATCATCCCCTCACAGTAGTGACTTATTTTTCTGTTTGTTCCCAGCTGGTGAGGATAGCCAAGGTGCTGGGGACAGAAGATCTGTATGACTACATTGACAAATACAACATTGAGCTGGATCCACGTTTCAATGACATCTTGGGCAGGTGAGCCAATGTCTGGAGTCTCTTTGGTAGATCTGGACACAGTTACAGCTTTGTCAACAGACCTTGAAGCAAACAAAAACTTAGGGGAAAAACCAGAGCCAGAATTCTGGAGAACTGTCACTTTGTGCCTTTGGTCCCTTTAGCCAGTGCTTCTCGTAGTCCTTTATATGGAAATGGACCTGAGGAAAGATTTTTAAATGTCATCCAGGCAATAAAGGAACTACTGGAGCAGAAAGCGTGAAGGGCAAATGCTCTACAGTCTGGGGGGAACAAACAGTGCTGTTTCTCAGCATTACAGCACGGAAAATCAGGTGCTGCTTCAGGTGGCATTTACATATTCTTTTTCCCTTCATAGAGTTATTTTGTGTGATACTAAAACTAAAGGAACCAATGCTGGGGGCATAAGAGAAGAGCAGAACCTGGAATTTTAGGCCCGTAATCCATTCTGGATGAATCCTGCTGCTGTGCAGGGTCTGTGGTGGCTGTATCTGGGCTGTGGTGGCCACAGTGAGTGTGCTGGGGCCACGGCAGCTCTGCCACCGCGTGGAGACTCAGTGCACTGCTGCTTCATGTTCAGGAACGCCTCAGCCCTGCGGCTGCTGCACCAGCCCTCTCAGGGACGGACATTTGTCACAGTTCCTGCTCCTTAAAAGAGTGAATTTTGGCATGGCTGTCCCCTGCCCGGCCTGATTTGGGTCTCTTTTCCCACAGACACTCCCGTAAGCGATGGGAGCGCTTTGTTCACAGCGAGAACCAACATCTGGTGAGTCCAGAAGCTCTGGATTTCTTAGACAAGCTGTTGCGATACGATCACCAGTCACGACTCACAGCGAGAGAAGCCATGGAACACCCCTACTTCTGTGAGTATCAGCTGCTGCCCTGAGAGATCTGCCCCTGGGAAGTCTCTGTTCCCACGGGTTGTGCAGATGGGAACTGAGAACAGCAACAATAATAAGCCTGGTCTCTGCACTGGAGCTGAGGCTGCTGGTCTCTGGGGTGGGTAAAATAGGCCACTGCCACCTACACCAGCCAAGGAACCAGTGTTGGATACCTGTGTTGAGCCCATGAATCATCAGGTGATATCAGGGAAGGTCACCTAAATGATGTGATTTGTAGCTGCTTTCAGCAGGTGTGCATGGATTCCAATGTTTTGATAAACCCAGAGATGTCTGGTTTGTTGAGAAACAGGCCTTGTAACTCCTTTTGTTGTTAAATTGTTTAGTCACTGGTATATTCAGGTCTTGGGTTTGCAAGCAAAAATGTAACTTTCACTGGTAAATGTTTCTAAATGTTTGCTGGTTTTCACAAATATTGATATTTAGGGGTTTGAAACAGCTGCAACAATGCAAAATGTCAGCATTTGCTCAGATGTGGGATTTTTTTCTTGCTGCTAAAAGAACCCCTGTAATTAACAAACTGCAGATCTGTGCTACACCTGCGGGAAATATTCCAGTGAAATGTTTTGCAGGTATGAGCATTAGTAAAGCCAAAAACTTGGAATGTGAGAGTTGAATGAACAGGCAACTTTGTGTCCACACAGAGATACAGGTAGTGCTGAGCTCAGCATGAGGAAAGGCAAAATTTGGGATCATCTCACAGAAGACAACAAGCTCCAGTGACACTCCTGACAGCTCACAGGCTGCTGTGGGATGTCTATAGAGATGTGACACATGATTGTAATTAGTGATAATCTATCTACTTGCTACACCCATGATCTGGGCTTTGCTTTCTGCAATTACACAGTTGCTTAGCACAGAAAACACATCAAACTTCATCTTAATTCCCTTCAGGTTTTCCTGTCAAGCAGTCCTGCTGACCCCCAAATCACATTTAGGTGGCTTTCCCTGATGTGACATGACCTTGGTACCTTCTGAGTGCTTCCCACTGGAAATGGTGTAAAACTTTGAGTTCTGGTAGATGGTGTTTGATATGCCAGGGCTGGCTGAGCACACAGGCTACAGCCAGTCTGTGTACCTCAGCAGCTCATTGGCAACACAGCACCTAAGGGTAGTGTGCTCTTCCTAGATCCCATTGTGAAAGACCAGGCTCGGATGGGCTCGTCCAACATGCCGGGTGGCAGCACTCCTGTCAGCAGTGCGAGCATGATGTCAGGTCAGTCCTGCTCTCAGCTCTTCTTGGTGATTGGTGTGGTAAAGAAGCATTTGTGTGTGCTGGGTGGGTGTGAGGATCCAGGAGGGTGAGTTCTGCAGGTGGGGCATCGGGTCATCCCCTGGGACCGGAGACAAGGGCAAGGAAGGCTGCAAAGAAGTGGGTGGGAGAACAAGATAAATAAGGCTTCGGGCAGCCTGACCTGCTTTTCTGGTCTCGTTTTAAAAAGTGCTTTGCAGTTGGGTTTTCTGGCAGCAGTTTGAAGGACAGTGCACTGGAACAGGCTGCCCAGAGAAGCTGTGGCTGTCCCATCCCTCGGAAGTGTTCAAGGCCAGGTTGGATGGGGCTTGGAGCAACCTTGTGTGTCCCTGCCCATGACAGGGGGTTGGAACAAGATGAGCTTTAAGGTCACTTCCAACCCAAACCATTCTGAGATCCTGCCACTCTTCTGCCCATCAGTGACTCTTCAGTCAACCCTTCTCAGAGGCCACAGAGAACTGTCAGACCTTTAATCTCAGCTCTAAAAACATAACTGACCTGCAAAGCTGCCACTTGATTTCAGAAGCTGAGCTGTCCTGGGTGGCGACGCACTGCTTTCACTCTAATTCCTGTTCCCCTGTCTCTCTTCCAGGGATTTCTTCAGTGCCAACACCTTCACCCCTTGGACCTCTAGCAGGCTCACCCGTCATCTCTGCCACCACCACCCTGGGGATGCCGGTTCCAGCTGCTGCAGGCGCCCAGCAGTAGTGACGGGCTCTGTCTCCTGCTGCCTGAGCTGAGTCAGGTGGGGAAGAGGTTTCCCCCTCCACCTCTCCTCAGGACGCAGCTCGTGCCTGGCAGGGGAAGGGAGGGGATGAACGCTTTGGAGACACCGTGTCTGAACTGTTGCTTGTGGATTTATAGTAGTTCAGTCATTATATACAAAATTATTATAGGCTGATTTTTCTTTTTTTACTTGAACTTTTCGTAACTCAGGGGATTCCCTGAAAATACCTACAGATGGAATATTTCTTGGACAGTTTTTCTTTCCCCCCCCACCCCACCCCCCCCAAAAAAAAAGAAAAAAGTACTCTTCATTTAATAACAAATGAATCAACAGCATTTCCAAGCTCTTGCATCCTGCTGGAAATCTCTTCTCTTCACGTTCCCACCATTATTCCTCCACGAGCCTACACCTTGGGGGATTGTGCTCTTCTCCAGAGACTACCAAACCAAGTCTTCGTGAGGCAGGGGAGGGGGATTCTTAAAGTACCACTCACTTTAACCCTATGTCCTGCATATGTCCCAGCCAGGGTACACTGAGGAGACAATTCCAGTAGGGAGAGGTGGGATAAGCTTAAAAGGAATAAGTGCAGATAATGTCCAAAACCCTAATTGGATTGGATAATGTCTCCTTAGGAGCCAACCAGAATGCCAACTCACCCCTTGCATGTAATTTTAGTCTTAAAAATGAGGTTACTGATCCAATTGGAGTCCTTGCCACCTCCCGAGACAGGTGCTCCTGTAGAGTAAAGCCCTACTCTGATCAGCCCCTTTCTCACAGGAGGGTTCTTCCTGCCGTTGCTTGGGTTGGATCTCTGGAATTAGTTTGTTATTGGGTATATTGTTTTTAAATTGTTTCTATAGGTTTCGAGCTGGTGGCTACTTAAAGCTGAAAAAAAAAAAAAAAATCAGACTGCGCCAAGTCCGGTCCCACATCTTCACCCACCATCCCCTCCCTCACGTGCCATGTGGTGAGAATACCAGTTACCTCACAGTCTTGTAAATATGCACTGAGAGGAAGGAGCAAGCAGACGTTAACTTAAACTGAAATGGTAGATCAGTAATTGTGGACAAATATTATCATTGACAACGGAAAAAGCACCCTTGTTACAGCCCTGCTACCCCTTGCTGTGTATATATACTTTGTCCTTCATATGTGAAAGATCCAGTGTTGGAATTCTTTGGTGTAAATAAACATTTGGTTTTATTTATCGAGGTTAGATTTAAGTTCCCTGTGTAGAGGCCTCCCTGGGTGGTGGTGCACTGACACGGGAGTGGTGACAGCCACTGTCCCTGTCACACACAGGGGGAGCAGCGCAGAGGAGCCTCACACAGATGTCACAAGCCAAAGTATCTCCTGGGAGAAGGATCTTTTGCCATAAAACCAGAAAAGCCTCCTCTTCTGTCTCACCCCTGATGGTGGGGCATTGAGATGATGAACCAGTTCTTAGGTTTTTTGAGTGTGTTGCCATTCATTGGATTTCAGTGACTTTGTTTTCAGTCACCTGATGTTTGTGGGACTCAGCTAGCGTGGCTGCAGGGGCAACGTCACCAGTCACTCTGGGTGACCTCCCATCCCAAAGCCATTGCAGCAGTTGTTACCCCGGGCATTGGCAGCTCTTCCCAGTCCTCAGCACGTGCTGATGCCTTGGCTTGTGTCTCCTGCTTGTCCCCAGCACCTGTCCCTCCTCTGTTCTTTGGGAGTCACGACCACACACTTCCACATCGCTTAGTTAATTTTAGGATGGAACATGTGGGCTGGATTAAGCCCAATCCTGGGACATAAAACACAGCCCCCTTCTGTGAGGATTGCTGGCAGGGAGATGAGGTTTTTCATGTACACCAGGGTAGCTTTCTCCTCCGTAACGCCATCCAGTGGAAATACATTGTACTCAAGTCTTTTATATCCTAAAATTATGTGAAAGTTGGACCATGTTGACTGTTACCTCAATGTGCTGTAACATAAAAGCACCAAGTATGACAAAATACAGCTTGTTTGTGCCAGGTTGTGACCTGCACAGGACATTTAACCAAGTGCTTCTGTTATTCCAAGCGAGGGAGGTTTGCACCAGGATGAGGCGGATGGAAGAGGAGACTGCAAGGGGATGATGCTCCCCAATCCTTGTCAGCCCTGGCACATGGAAGCTGGTGTGTGGAATGAGCTTTCTGGGCGTGACAAGCCCTTACATGAAGTGCCGGGAGCTTGTTCCCACGCTGCCGGTGCCCCGAGGGAATTCGGGGGGTTACAGGTTTTTTTTATGGGGCACCAGCAGCCCCTGGGTGCCACACCACAGTGGCTGTGTTACGCACCCCGGACAGCGCTGGGAATTAATCCGTGCCGCGGGCATTTTGGGGTGTTTTTTTTCTTTGTTTCTTCGTTTTGTTTCTTATTCTTTTCTGTTTCGAACAATCCCCGGACGCGCCGGGTGCGGGCACGTGCAGGCTGCGCCCTCCCTTCCGCGCATGCGCGGCCACCCCTCCGCCCGCGCGACCCGCCTGGAGGCGCCGCGCCTGCGCAATGCCGCGCCGTGACGTCCCGCCCGCGCGCCGGCGGGCGGGGGGCGGGGGGAGCGGGCGGGGCAGGACGGGACCGGACGGCGCGGGCAGCGCGAGCCCGGCCCGGCCCGGCGTCCGGCCCGGAATGCGCCGCAGCGCCCGGAACATGGCCCCGGCCAGAGCCCGCCGCGCAACGGCGTCGGCGGCCACGGTACGCGCTGGGCCCGGCGGGCGGGGGGCGTGGCTCCGCTGAGGGGGCGGGGGCTGGAGCGCCCCCTGTGGGAGCGGCGGCGCCCCCTGGCGGCGGGGCGGGGCCGGTGCCGCTCTCGCCCGGCGGGAGAACGGGGTGTCCCCGGGGATCCGGGCGGGCCCGGGGCCCGAGCGAAGGGCCCGGCCCGCTCCGCGGCTCTGTGGCCGCGGGCTCGGGCGGGCGGGAGCGGCCCGGGCGCGCTGGCGCTGCCTGAGCCGAGCCGGTCCCCGGGCGCTCCCGGCAGTGAGCGGGGGCTCTGCGGCAGCGCCGGGGCTGGCCCGGCCTTGTGCCCAGTGCCCGCAGCGCTGCTCCTTGCGCTGCCTTTGGCTGCAGGAGCACCGACAGACCCGCCCGGGATTGGGACTGGCCAGTCCGAGTTTCGGGACAATAAAAACCCCGCACCCTCAGCTCCAAGTATGAACCTGCCAGTTAAGGTCTTCTGCCTGCACAAAACATGTTTTTGAAATACTTTTTTTTTTTTTAATACTTGCAGCTCTACCTTTGAAAAGTGTAAACGTTGGGGTATTTGTCAGTAAGCCTGAGAGGAGGAGCCCGCAAGACGTTCTCCCTCCTCCCCACTACTCCTCAAGTTCTTTGTGTGTGAACAGGAGTTTTGTCTCCCATAGGCTTTGTCTTCTCCTTCCCGAGACGTCGGGATATGACAGCCCAGTGTGTGGCAGGGGATTGGGAACAACTGGGGGTGGGGAACTGGCTGGGAATAGGGAACCGGACGAGCTGAGCTGGCTTCTGTTGTGCAAATAACTCTGCTTGCTCAAGGGGCGGGAAAGGAAATAAAAGGAAACTGTGGTGGCTGGGTAAGCGATAGGAGATTCAATGTTACCAGGAACTTGGAATTCGGAGGGAGGTGGAGCTCTGTCCTAGGCTGTCACATCTTGTTTTGATCCAAGAAGTGTTTAAAAAGGGTCTTTGAGAGGGAACAGCATCCATTGCTCGACCTACTTTATCGCCCGTGTGCGTGAGCAGCCTGGCGACCCGCCGGCTCCCTCTGGACCCCGCGGAGAGCGGCACTTCCAGCCAGGATCTCGCAGGGAGAGGGCCAGGGCAGTGCTGAGGTGCCACGTGGGCAGAGAACGAGCTCCCTGATCGCTGCCGGGAGGGCGCGGCCTTGGGAAACAGCTGTTTCTCCATCGGAATCCTTTTAATTCCTCCCACCCCAAACCCTATTTGGACACGTCCCTTTATCGAGCGAATCCCGTTTGGAGCCTAAGAGTCGTTGCATCTGTGGGAAAAGCCTTTGGGGAGAGGCAGTGTTTGTGGCCTCATCCTGTGCTCCAGCCTCGCAGCTGCTCAGCAAGAGCCTCCTTGCTGGGAACTCCTCCGGTGTGGGATATCGGTGTGGGATATCAGGTGGCTCTCGGCCGCCTCTCTCCTTCCTCACATGAGGCAGCAGTGACAAATTCCACCATGTGGTGTGAAATAGTGTCCCTTCTCCGCTCCCTGGGCAGCGCTCTCGTGTCCTGTAAGTGTGTCTATCCCCAGCACCGTGTGCTTTGTGTGTCACCCCTTTCCCCCTCCCTGCCCCGAGTTCCTGTGCTCCTCAAAACAGTGGGAATTGTTTTCTGCTGGCTAAGCTGTGTGTACTGGTAGCTGGCAAGTTTGTGTTTGTTGGAAGAGAAGTCAACATGCTCGTGACTGGTTAACTCTGGTATAACGATGTCCTTTCTTCTGTCTGTGGAAGTGCTCAGGCTTCTCCCTAGGATGGCTGAACCCGGGAGTCAGTAGGAACACAGTTTTGGGAGCGCTGTCCTAATCTTTTTAGAACACTTCCCTAAGTCCTGCTCTTAGGAAACAGTTGACACCTGAGCTGGCAGCCACGTCAGAGGGCAAACAGTTGCAGGATGGCTTTGCAGGGCTGTCCCTGTCCCGCATGGAGCTGTGATCCGCTGGGGAAGAGGGAGCTGAGGCCGTTTGGGCAGTGCTGGTGGCTCCCATGTCAGGAGGAGCAGCGTTGGCCTCCCACAGGGGTTCATAAGGAAGCAGTTCCGGGCTGGCTATGAGGTGCCCCCGATGCTGAGCCTGCAGAGATGGGAACACTCAGCTGGAGAGTCACCGCCAGGGTCAGTCCTGGCCCGGCAGGGCATGTGACAGTGACAACTGCCCTGTGTCATCTCCCTTGTGTGTGTGACATTGTTGTGAGTGGCTGTTACTCGCTGGCGCCGTGTGCAGGCGCTGCCTGTCAGTTCCCATCTCTGTGATCTCCCTGCAGACTTCGATGCTAAGAAGAAAAGAAAGGTGGCAGAGATTTACCAGGCTCTGAACAGTGACCCCATCGACGTGGCGGCGCTGAGGCGGATGGCGATCAGCGAGGGCGGGCTCCTCACGGATGAGATCCGGTGCAAAGTGTGGCCAAAGCTGCTCAGTGTCAACACAGACGACCTGCCCCCTCCTCCAGGTGCGGAACACACTCGGGTGCTTGGGAAGAACGGCCCGGTGACCTTTGTCACCAGAGGAAGGACTTGCTTTCTGACCTGCCTTT